GTGACTAAAGCTGCCATGAGCATTGGTGTACAAAGACCTATTCATTGCTTGCACTTCCCCTGGGTGTCTTCCCAGAGAGGAATTGCTGTAGGTGATTCTGCTTCTATCTGCGGCCTCTCCTGCCCTGTTTTTTTCTGGCGACGGCACTATTTTACATCCCCCCCCCACTCCCCAGCAACGCACCAGGGACCAGTTCCTCCCCAGCTAATGAATACTTTTTTGTGATTTGCATAACTGCATCCCAATCTCTCTGAAGTGGTATCTCCTGGTGTTTTGATTTGCGTTTCCCTGCTGATTAGCGATGTTGAGAAACTTTCCATGTGTACAATTTAATTTTCAAAAATCTTTAAGTGCTTTTCACTGTGGAATGGATTTATCACTTTAAAATGTGTGTGATGGGAAGGTAGACATCTCACTTAGTTGTTTCCTGCTGTGTAATAACACTTTTTTTTTTAGGGAGGCAGCTTCTAACAACGAAACCATGGCAACCATTCTTCTTCAAAACTTGTTAATACAACTGGATGACCAGTTAGGTCGAGTTTCCAAAGAGAAAAACCTGCTCTTGATTCACAATCTGAAAAGAATTCGGAAAGTCCTGCAGGTGAGAATGCATTCTACTTTTTCCAAATGTTCAGCTTTTTAAGGCTTAGATTCAGTTTACAGAAATCAAATATGTACCCATATGTTATTTTCAAACCATATTTAAAAAGACAAATTCTTGAATTCTCTTGCCATTTTGAATTTCGTGCTCAATTTTTTGTTTGTTTTCCACGAAATTTTGAACCTGAGATGCACTATCTGTGGGGAGGGCCTGTGTGATGGACATGTGCTTGTTTGGAGGTTATGATGCTGGAGCAGGGTTGGAAAGATGTGGCCCCCTCTCCCCCGCCTCCCCCTCTCCTCCCTTGCCTTTGTCTCTTACATAATTTCGAGTTAGTGTTGTTCCCTTCATAGATGCAGGCCTTGTGTTGTGTGTTTTCCAGATTTGGTTCAGATCTCACCTCCTTCACAAACATTCTTTGCTGCATTCCAGCCCCACAGGGCCACAGGCAAAGCCACACTGCTCCTGAGGTGCCAGACCTCCCTGCCCCGTGGCACCTAGTGTGTGGGGGGTGGGGGGGGACATTAGCATGTCTTCGTCCTCACACCGTTTGGTCCCCGAGGCCACCTTCAGCATTCAGCCTGAATTCCCTGCACCCACTCTAGGTGGGAGGCATGGTAGATGAGTAACCCTTGTTGGTTGAAGGGCGAGCAGGTGAATGAGTGCATGGGGCTCTGAGTACTGGAGGGCAGGCTGCCTGAGCTGACCCGGGGATCGGTGAATGAGTGGATGGGGTTCTGATAATGAAGGGCAGGCTGCCTGAGCTGACCCCGGGAGCGAGCAGGGCCGGCTGGGAGCCTGGGCCAGGCGCCTGTAGAGCATGTGCCATGTCTCAGGGAGGCGCTCTTCGAGGCCCATGCTTCCGCCCAGTATATTCTTAGAGAATGTTAGCTACACTATAAAGGAAACGTGCCGGAAGCTATAACATTTGTGAGGGGGACACGGGTATTGTTTTTTCTGATTGATGTTTGGGCTGCCCTGAGCCACCTTGGCCATATAGTGCCTTACAAGTTGACAAGAGCCATTGGCCAGGGCTGGACAAGAGCTTGTGGGCAACACGGCAGGGTCTTGGGAGCATCAGGCAGACCCTCTCTCACGGAGATGAGACCCTTAGCCTCGGCCCCACCAGCTCAGGGCTCTCATGCGCCCACCTGAGCCGGCGGGCACGCCACTGCCTACAGGCAGATGTGGCCGCTGCCTCTCTGTGTACAGCCCATGACTGAGAATCGTATACACA